GGGGGGGGGAGGGGGGAGAAATAGTGGGGAATGCAGGAGAAGAGGGGAGGGAGGGGCTGCAAGCACTTCTAATGCAGCTGCAAGAAGTGGGTGGGCTGCAGGCTGCTCCTACCACCACTGGGGGACAGCCATTGCTGCTTACCTGTCTGCAGGAGACTTCCAGGTAGGTCCTCTGGGTGAAGACAGTGTGGAGAGGATGTTTAGACAGCCTCAGCCTTTGGCCTTAAATCTAGGTGAGCCCCAGGAACGGAGGACCCTAGGAACATCAAGGGAGAAGAGCAGGAGCGGAAAGCAGGACCCTAACCAGAGAGGCAGCAACATCAGAGATGGAGTCAGAGATGAGGACATGGAGAGAGGGAGCAGCTGAGGACTCTAGGTTCATGGAAAGAGAGGGACTGCAAGCTGGCAGCTGGGAGGCAGGTTTGCAGAATGTGTCCTCTGGTGGTTTAAATTATTATATGTGCCTGAGTGTTAAAAAAAAAAAAAAAAAAAAAAAAAGGAGTTAAAATGAATAGAGAAATGCTGCTGACTGAAGGTACATGGAGGGGATTTTAATCAATGTAATGAAGCAAAGTGTTTGATTTGTTGAATGGAAAACGATTGATCTGCCCTGTGAACTTTCACTCAATTCACAATAAAAACTTTTTAAATTAAAAAAAAAGTTTATAGAACTAGATGGTAGATGTGTTGAGAAACAGTAAGTCTACATTTTGTTATTTTTATTTAATAAAACTTTCCATGATTTTGTAAAATAAAAAATCTAGGTGAGCCGATGGCGCCTCCATATTTACCCATATGGTCATAGCCTGGCTGGGAGAGTTGGGAGAGCGGAGGATAACTAGGGGTAAGTTGGAGGGAGTTGGGATTTCAAAGGCTGGCTGGAAGCAGTGGGCAGGAGGGGACAAGGGGACACATGAGCTACCTCCTGATCCACCCTGGATTCTCAATGTCCTACTTGCCTCTCTAATGACACTCTACAGATGGGCAGTTCTGAGAGCAGGCCACCCTCCACCTCCAGGAGACACTTAGGAACCCTGCATGTCCCACATCCACCTGCCCACCTTCCTCTATCTCCTCCCTCCCCTCAGTTAGAAGCTTCACAGTGGCCGGCCTGAGAGCCAGTGGGATGTCCTACTCACCAGGACAGCAGTGTCCTCTCCCAAACGCAGAAGCAGGACCCAGGAAAATCCTGGATGGCTGGGCTCAGTGGCTTGAGTCACCAGGCAGCACATGATGTTGTTCCCAGAGGTCTCTAATCCCCCGCCCCACCTCCTGCTTTACACCAACAGGATGGGGCCAACAGAGCCTGGCAGCTCCATACCTGCCCTGCGTCAACAGAGGCACCCTGGGCAGGAGGGATTACAGTGACCAGACACAGACCTGGGGCTAAGCTTCAGGGGCCCAGCTCTAATCCCTGCTCTGTGGCTGACTGGCCAGGATGTGACCGCTTGCCTGTCCCTCAAGTTTGGGCAAGCCCATCTTTGAGGTTCCTTCAGCTAGACAGCCTACCAATGTCTCCATTTATATATAGCACTAGCTACGCACCGAACCCTGGGTAAGAGTCTCCTTTAATCCACACAACTACCCAGCAAGGTATAAATCCTAACTGGCACAAATGGTTAAGCACTTCACTATGAGCTGAAAGATTGGTGGTTCATAACCTCGAAGACCTGGTGAAGCAATCCTACTCTGCACACCTGATGTTGAGTTGGAATTGGTTTGATGGGAACTCAGTATAATGGCAACAACAACAACAAAGGAACTGGGGTTCCGAGGAATGAAATGACCTGCCAAAGTCACCCAGGAAGCAGATGAAGCATGAGAGGCAAAGCTAAGTGTTCCTCCCTCGACGACAGGCCGTGACTGCTGTGGTCCCTGGGCCTATTGGATCTCACAGAGGCACGTCTTCACCATTCTCCCGCCAGTTCTCAGACTCTGTCCTCAAGTTAGACATCTATAGAACAAAGGGAGTCAGTGACCCAGGAGCCCTGTTAGGAAGTCCACATCTGGCAACCGCTGTGCAGCAGGCGATGACCTGGGCAGTCAGCCCCTGAATGACCATTGTGGGCAGATGCTCAATGTCCTGTCCTCCTCATTATCCCTTCCCATCATGTCTGTATCCAAAGTCTGGTGCCCCAAGGTACCTCTTCCCAGAGCACTCTGGGGGACTTTCCAAATCCAAAGGTAGGAACCCATCTTCGTCCCCTTGATCTCCACCATCACTTCCATCATCATTCCTCCAACTAACCAAGCTTCCTTAGGGATCCAGGTTATCCTGCCATCCTCCTCTTTGCCTCCCCTCCTCACCAACGCTGACCATCACTTTTTGTTTGTTTTTTTACAGAGATCTGGTAAATTTTAATTATTATACAAAAGGACTGTTGTTGTTGTTAAGTGCCGTCGAGTCGGTTCCGACCCATAGCGACCCTGTACAGGGTTTCCGAGGGTATAAATCTTTACGGGAGTAGAAAGACTCATCTTTCTCCCGCAGAGCGGCTGGTAGTTTCGAACCGCTGACCTTAAGGTTCGCAGCCCGATTTGTAACCACTACGCTACCAGAGCTCCTTATACAAAAGGACTAGGGAGTTATTAAAGAGAATAAAGGTTTTCTTAACATCCAGATAACCAAACACAAAATGCAAGCCATCAGCTAAATACTTAAGTAACCATGTGGTAAGGAGCTCTGGTAGCATAGTGGTTATAAGTCGGGCTGCTAACGTCAAGGTCAGCAGTTGGAAACTACCAACTGTTCCACAGGAGAAAGATAATGCTTTCTGCTCCTCTAAATATTGACAGCCCAGAAACCCTATTCAGGTTCACTATGAGTCAGAACTGAGTCCATGGCACATAACCATCACAATCAACAACGACAACCATGAGGTGATGCAAGGCCACTTTGGTAAATGTTGGTAATACCGACTAAACTTGAGCAGACCTTGTCCTGTGACGTAGTACTAGGACTTCTTCATGTACCCAATCAAACACTGAAAGAAAAAGAATGTTCCCAGGAGTGTCTTCGGGTGGTGGTTGTGGTTGTTAGTATGGTGTTTGCTGAAGGATTAGCACTGGACCACAAGGTCAGTCTGAGCCTCAAATTTGGCAGTTCAAACCCACCAGCCGTTCCTCAGAATCCCTATACAGAACTGACTCAACAGCACTAAACAAAGTCAAATCTGACCCGTGGTGCTCCCACGTGTTCAGAGTATAATTGTGTCATTGGGTTTTGCAGGCTAAGACCTTTCAGAAGTGAGTCCTCAGGGCTCACTTCCAAGGAGCTTCTGGGTGGGTTTCAACCACCAACATTTAACTAGAGGTGGAGGGTTTAACTGTTGAAAGACGAAGTAAGTTGAAGACGAAATAAGAAGAAATATCCATTTCCTAGAACAGCAAAAAGGAGCTCTGGTAGCGTAGTGGTTACGAATCGGGCTGCGAACCGCAAGGTCAGCAGTTCGAAACTACCAGCTGTTCCACAGGAGAAAGACGAGGCTTACTGCTCCCGTAAAGATTTACAGCCTCGGAAACCCTGTACAGGGTCGCTATGGGTCGGAACCAACTTCACAACACATAACAACAATAACAAAACAGCATGACACATGCAACAATCAAGTAAATGATTTCACAATCGTCCTTGAAGAGATGGAACAGCTATTAGAAATGTGATCAAAAGGAAGTGGCCAGATGGCTCCCTCTTGGGGATAAACTCTCTGGGGAAGCCACTTAGGACATGAGCTTCTTGGTCTTGATCTTATAGGACTCACCATCCCCTGAATGCAAACAGCTTTTGCAGTAGGATTAAACACAGGTATGCTGGAATGGCGGTCCCTCAGAGTTCTCAACAAGCAAACTGGTCAGCTCTCCTGAGCCTCACACATAGCTTATCGAGGCCTACAAGAAGTGAGGACCTAGAGGCGTGGATCAATCTCCTACACAACACAACAGTACAGTGTTAGAACTGGGAGGCTAAGCCAACCATAGCCAAAGGAGCTGAACGATCATGCTGACATTTTCGGGAAGAAAACCATAATTGTACACGGGAACACAGATGCCCCACAGGAAATGACTGAGGAACCATGCTGTCTCCTTGTAACCTAGGACACATTCTGTTCCATCCTGGCTGAACTTCTATACCTCATTGTAAATTTATGAACTTGAATTTGCTGAAAATGATTTGGCTTAATAAATGGGGTGAAGATACAGTAATAACACCTGAAACAATAAACCTTAGAACTTTAAATCAATCACTTTGTTTTTTTTTTTTTAAAGGTACTGATTTAAAATATATATGACTATTAAAAAAAAAAAAAAAAGCTTGTGAGTGGTCATCTAAGATGCAACTATTGAACTCTTCCTGCCTAGAGCAAAGAAGCGAGAAGACAATTAAAGATGCATGGAAACAGTTAGTCTTTAGCACCTGAACCACATGAACCTCAGTCCTTACCACACTGAGGTGTAAAGGTGCACGGAAACAGTTAGTCTTTGCCACCTGAACCACATAAACCGTAGTCCTTACCACCCTGAGGTCAGAAGAACTAGGTGGAGCCTGGCTATCATTGCTGATCAT